TAAGGCCATAGGTGGGGGGGTGAATGGCCCCTCCCATAGGGAATAAAAGGGGAGCGAAAGGTGAGTGGAGTTTGCAGGAGGCAATTAGTTGGCTTAATTGGTTCGTGACTCTCCAAGACTCCTTGCCAAATTCTGCAGATATCGGCCTGGCAGCTCTCCAAGCCAGATAAGGTCTGTGACTGTAAATCCTCCCTTGAAAGACTTTGCTGGAGATGAATGAGCGGAATTCACAGTCACTTAATAAAAAGGGGTTTTTCTCGGGACCAGGAGTCTGCTTCGTGGTTTGGGGAAGCCTAGCTCAGAACACTTCATCCTTCTCACTTAAAAAGCTGAAAATTGATCAGCAAGGTTAACTGATTGCCCCACTCCTAGAGGGATGTTTTATCTTCGGTATTGATCATCTCGGGGCTCCCTGTTGCCTTCCTGCCTGAATAAAGTAATTATCTGCCAGAAATTCAGAGCGGGGTCTCGTGTGTGTTTGACTGGAAAGGAAAGCTCTCTGAGTGTGCTGAGAATTATTCCCAGGTAGGTGTTGTATTTGCAGACTTAAATACCTCTCTCTGACCTACAACGACGATGGAAAGTGGCACTTGGGAATACAAAGGGTCTGTGTTATTTGGTTTAAGCACCTGCTTATTTTGTTTTCACAATATTTAAAAAGCACAGCCACCTCTGTTCTAGCTTGTTTTTCTCCCCTCCAGGAAGTAGATTTCTGAATGATTGCTTGACAAAATTGCTACCTTTAGCATTTCGTTCACAATTTACATTTCGATCGCTCGCTGTTGCGTGGAGAAGCTGAACTCAAAGGGACGTCAACAACGGCGGACGACAAATCTTTCCAAACGGTTTTGAGCAGTTACCTTCACGGATTTCTGGAGCACGATATAGACTCCCATGGAACATTCTCACCTGCCCCTTCTAAGAGCTTATCTATCCGTGCCAGATCCATTTCCCCATTTCTCAGGTTCTCAGATACCCCCAAGGTTCAAATGATCCTACTTTGGACACATGATGTGAAGACCCAGCTCTCGTTCTGACCCAGGCTTCCTTAAAAAGCAAGAAGCAGAGTGTTGGTCCCGACAAAACCTCTTTTAGTTGCACAACTGTGAATTCCTTTCATTCACAGTTCAGCCAGGCTTTAGCAAACAGTTTTTCAGAGGAATATTTATCAACACAAAGCTTATCTCGCTTGGAGAGCTGCCAGATAACTAACTTCCAAACACAAGGCAAGGCAACATTTGGCACAGAGTCTCTTATAGTCACAAACAGAACTTTCCACTCTTCAAACGACCGAAGGAACGAATTGTTTCCTGCAAAAGCCCACTCCCCATTCGCTCCTCTTTTGTTTCCTGGGGATTTTGCAGTATCCTTTCCCTGCCATGCCCCCCAAGCCATGCCCCATGAGCCATGCCCACAGAACAGTAGTAAAAAAAATTGAATCCCACCACTGGCCTGCCCTCCCTAACATATTTCCTATCTATTCTCTGCAATGGTGTGTGTGCTATTCAGAAGTTGTGGGANCACTGGAATTACATTTAAAACAGTTAAAAATTGACAAAATCACCATCAGTCAAATGCAAAAAGCCGCACTGTTTGGATCCGCACGTATATTACGAAAATACGTTACGACGTCCTAGGCCCCTGGGTGGGGCCTGACTAGTAACCAATGCCAAATCCGGTGAAACAACTGGCCGCTGTGATACAATTGTATAATAATAATAATGCATTTTTGAATGTTCAGTTGGCTGAGTTTCATGTTTAATGAATAAAGTATAATAATAGTAATATGAAATATCGCAACCTGGCTATCGAAACTACATGATTATGGGTGAAATATGTGACAGCGATACCCATTGTCATTGGGGCACTTGGCACCATCCAAGAATTTTTCAAAACACATAAAGAAATTGCAGCTTCCTGCAATAACACCAACGGAACTGCAAAAAACTGTGCTACTCGGAATATCTTATATTTTAAGAAGGTCCTTGGTTGATACCTAGGACGCTGTCAGCAATCCGTATCAACCCGTAGCACCAGGTGATGTGTTTTTGAATGTTCAGTTGACCGAGTTTCATGTTTAATGAATAAAGTCTATAATAATAATAGTACAGACTAATCGTCATTTGGAACACAACACGCCAGATATCACGGTTGTCGAAGGCCAAAGAGTACAGTTTATTGATATTGCTGTACCAGGAGATGCCAGAACAAAAATTTGTGAACAAAAATCACAAAATACCGCAACTTGGCCATTGAAACTACACGGCTATGGATGAAACATGTAACAGTGGTACCCATTGTCATCAACATGGTACCATATCCAAGAATTTTACAAGATACATCAAGAAATTGCAGCTTCAAAAGGTCAAAATACATCCCCCCCCCTCCCAATGATTGGATGTATAGTTCTTACTTTTAGGACCTCCTTTGGGTCAAACTGTGTCATGCTGTGTATGAAGACACTGGTCCCACGAAGCCAAGGGGCGAAGATACCTCCCATAGTGCCCTTCACCCAACCAGTATCTGACATGTTCCATATGACATCGGAAGGTTTGAAGTCCAGCCAATACCTGCGAGACACGGACATTTTAGCTGGGATGCTGGATTGCCTTCAAACAAACAAGATCTCACCTCATTTTTAGGTGGCCTTAAATTTTCTACAGAGTTCCACAAGTCCTCGGCTCTTCGTTGGCAATTGTCTTCTCCAGAGGCCTTGCAGGAAACTCCCAAGAGGTCGAATACACTGAATTCTGGTTGATTGGGGGTCAGGTTCAAGACCTACACGAAAATTAAGAAGGATACCTTCCCACTAAAGCTAAGCCCAAGGTTAAGCTGGTTTGACAGTGCTCAGCCATCTTTGGAGAACCCGTGGTTCCACTGGTGAAGAAGGTAACCATTGGATCATCGCTCCGGGTTTGAACACAGTTGTGGCTGGAAGGAGCTGCCCTGAAAGAGACCAAAGGAAGGACATCAGCCGGGATCAGAAAGGAACTTCATGTTCTGGTCTGCCAGCAGAGCTGGCAGCAGAGTCAGACAGTGAGGAGATTGGGGAGGAACATGGGCCAGTCCTGGAGTCTGGGGAAGGCTCTGAGGAGGGCTCTGTGTCGGAGGCAGAGAGGGGGCCAGAGCTGTATGCCAGTTATCAGCTGCCTTTGGAGTCAGACAGCAGTGAGGCAGAAGAACAGCTGGAACCTGTGTGCGCATGCGCAGAGTGGCCCAACAAAGGGAACAGCTAAGGAACAGGGGTCAACTTGGGAGTAAGGCCACAGGTGGACGATGAATGGCCCCTCCCAGAGGAAATAAAAGAGGAGCGAAAGGGGAGTGGAGTTTGCAGGAGACCATTAGTTCGCTTCATTGGTTCGTGACTCTCTGAGACTCCTTGCCAAGTTTTGCAGATATATCAGCCTGGCAGCTCTCCAAG